AAATCTTTACGACGAAGAGTGTAAACTAAAATTTGATGGTGAAGGTCTTGATAACTCTATATCTTTTTCTGACAACATGTATATGCAAAACACTCCAATATTCAAATCAGTGACGGTCAAAAGTAAAAGATTTCAAAATTAAGATAGTGTATTAGAAAAACTCATTAGAACAGTGTAAAGAATACATTTATAGGATTTGCTCAAATCAATGACGACCAAAAGTGAAAGATTTTTAGAATTAAAATATTGTATGTAGAACTTTTATTGGGGGACGCATATGTCAAGAAAATTAGATGTTTTTAGGGAATTGGATGCCAACGAAATTGGATTTCCTGCCATCAGCAAAACTGCCACAATCACACAGTCGAACCAATTTTAGCCGTTCAATCTTAATCAAACGATTTTAAAAAAACAGATTTATTTTTAATATTATAATTTTTAACTATTCTTTTAAATTAGAACCGTCCGATTTTAATCGAATAGCTACCAACACTTGAATGTGTGAATGCAGGGAATCTCAATTTGATGTCGACCCAGTTCGAAACAGTTCCGGTTCCTAGGTTGGCTGGGTTAACGGGCTAATTAGGGCAATTTTTAAAACATTATTAGTGGCAACATAGATTGTTCGAGGAAATTAATGTAGGGGCAATTCCGAGGAGAGAGCATTTTACTTGGGACACACATTTGTGAGAGACACACCACTTGTCCATCTAAAACCTTAATGTGATAGATGAGTGGGTTCTCTCATCTATATTTTAGTCGTTGAATCTTAATCAAACGATTTTAAAAAAACATTTATTTTTAATATTATACTTTTTAACTATCTTTTAAATTAGAATCGTCCGATTTTAATCGAATAGCTACCAACACTTGAATGTGTGAATGCAGGGAATCTCAATTTGATGTCGACCCAGTTCGAAACAGTTCCGGTTCCTAGGTTGGCTGCGGTTAACGGGCTAATTAGGGCAATTTTAAAACATTATTAGTGGTGATAGAGATTGTTCGAGGAAATTAATGTAGGGGGCAATTTCCAATGAGAGAGCATTTTACTTGAGACACACCTTTGTGAGAGACACACGACTTGTCCATCTAAAACCTTAAGGTGATAGATGAGTGGGTTCTCTCATCTATAAGTGCTCAATCTTCCCTTTTATAATCAATGTGGGACTTCTTCCTCACACTTGATTCTCAACAATTAATTCGGTGTCAAGAGCATTTTGGTTAATGATAATAAGAATTTGAAATAATATATAGATGGAAAAACATTGATGGTTAAAGTTTATACAGACATCAATTTATAATTTATACAACAATGAAAAACCAATTTCATCTGAAAGAATGAAATTAAAAGGTTGTCACCTGATAAGTTGTAAGAGAATGAAATCTTATTCCAAGTGACAAACTTTACCTCTTTTACTCTAATCTCTAAATGACATCCAGCAAGCATCAAGCTTGATATCAACCAAGTAAGTTTATTCCCTACATGAGTGTTATGTCGTGGATTGTGAAGCATGGTGTCTGGTCATAAACCAGGTAAATTTTCCTATAGAAAGTTCATTCCAGGTACTATCAAAACCAAATAGACAGAACCTGAAATACAAAAAATATAGGCACGTCTTAAGCATCCTTCTTCCCAGAGTTTGGAATTCCAGGGTTGCATTCAAGATATCAATGTTGGCTTTACCAGCACACAAAGAAACAACTATTTCCACAGATAATCAAATTTTCAATGCTTTTATCAGACATAACCCATGTTTAGAACGGCAGTTGTGGCTGATTTCTCGCATCCCAAAGTGACACGGTCATGAATCTTATCTAAGGTCAACAATGTCTCAACATAGATTAAATGAATTGACTTTATTATAGATTGAAAAAGAAATGTTAAATGAAATTGATTACAATAATTTAATAAATAATTTTGCATCTCAAAAAGCTCGAAGAGTAAAATTTTAAATAAATATTATAATATTTAATTTAATTTTTTTTATTAAAATATAAAAAGGCCTCAATTTAAAATTTGCTTTAAGCCTCATAGAGTGTTGGGTCGGCCCTGTTTGTAATGAAACCAATGTGTGTGGCTTATTATCGTAGCCAGGCGGATAAGTGTTGCAACCCCTAACACAAGATGTCTGTATTTGATTCCTAATTCTGTATAATTTTTTTAATCTTATTTTTTTGACTTTTTTTTGTCTTTTTTTTTCTAAAATAGAACCGTAAATATCTTCATTTTCTTTTTTTTTTCTTTTTCAAAAAGTAATCTTAATATTAATTTAAATAAATATTAGTCTAATAAAAAAAATTCACATCTTTTTCAAAAAAAAATTGTTTTCTTTTTTCAAAAGTAATCTTAATATTAATTTGTTTAGGTAAAATATTAGTTTAATAAATTGTTTTTCACATCTTTCTTAAAAGTAAAAGTGAAAATTGTGACCTTTTCTTTCCTCTCTCAAACAAAAAAGAAATCAAAGTTCCAGATTAATTATTCAATTTTTTCTTTTTTAATTGATAATATCTTCTTTTTATTTATTGTTTATGTTTAAACTGTATAAATTTTTTCATTACAAATTAAAATTAAAATTTGTTTGGTCATATGGTGTTTGTTATAGCAGAAGATTATTTTGATTAAATTCTTCATAAATTTTGATATAAATTCTTCATAAATTAAAAGTAATAGTGAAAAATTTATTTTTTGATATCACACATGATTCGCCTTATTATAGCAATACTTAGTTTACTGTTTTAAATTTTTTTTTTTTTAAACCAAAATTTATTTTGAGGTATATTATAAAACCTTGCCTTTTATATTTATCGTTGTTTTATTGTTATAATAGTTATTGTCATGTATATTTTGCTTTTTGATACTTTAGTGTTGCTACTTGTTTATTTGAATTTCAAATAAATGTTAATTTTATTTCAAAATTATTTCTTAATTTTTTATTTATTGGTTCAATTTTCAACGATGTAAAATTTATCGGTTCAATTTCAACTATGCGAAATAGATCAACTTTAATTTTAGGTTCTATATTTTATTTTCATTATTCCTCAATGTCTCCTAAATTGTCCCATAAAATTAAAGAGTTTGACTTTGAATGTGAGAAGCGTAGGAAAAAGAAAAGACTTGTTTTTTTTTAATTATATTATTTATTTAAGAGATCATTTTTGTTATTTGTCCTGGACCTCTAAAATGTCAGATCGGCCCTGCCCTTTGTTTAGGATAGATAAGAAATAGTCAAATGCAAGCTTCTTTTTCTTATTAATATAGTTTAATTTGCCTATCAAAATATAATAATAATAAGGCATGAAAGACAATGATTTGATTTGTGATCAAGATTTTTCAGAACTGATATGATTATTCACTTTACAGACACAAAGGATGAGAGAAACTTCAAGTTGGATTATTAACATTATTAGTTTATGGCTTGTTACTTTCTATTTCTTTTAGCAGCATTGCTCTAGATGTTGAATGCTTAGTTTCTGATCATGAAGCTCTTTTAGACTTCAAAAGCTCTTTTAGACTTCAAAAATGGGCTTAAGAATCCTCGGAACAGGCTCTCTTCATGGAGAAATGCCGATTGTTGTCAATCGCATGGTTGCAATCGATCTCCATAACCCGCCTCCAGAGCAAGTTGATTCATCTCCAAGTAAGTATGGAATATGGAACTTAAGTGGTGAGCTAAAAACCATCTTTGATGAAACTCAAGTCATTAAGCCATTTAGACTTGAGCTTCAACACATTTGAGGGAATACAAATTCCTGAGTTTTTTGGATCACTGATGAATTTGCAATATCTGAATCTGTCAAAATGCCGGGATTCTCTCACTTACCTTCACCTCAGTGACAATGCTATTGAGGGCGGTATTCCTAGTTCCATTGGTAAACTTTGTATGTTGAAACTTCTCATATTATCAGGAAAGTAATATGACAGGAACTCTTCTTCAAGGAATAAATGAATGCCCTTCTAGAAAACCTCTTCCTAATTTGGCATATTTTATGATGGACGACAACAAATTGCACGGTAAAATCACAGATTGGTTAGTTCAGCTAGACAGTCTAGTCGGTATCACTCTTGCACATAAATTGCTTGAAGGTCCTATTCTTGTTTCCATCGGGTCGCTGCAAAATCCCGTTGTCTTGATGCTTGAAGAGAATAAATTAAATGGTACGCTACCAGATAGTTTAGGACAACTTTCTAAGCTGTCATACTTAGATGTTTCTTCCAATCAGTTGACAGGGTAACTGAAGAACATTTTTCAATGCTGGCAAAATTGAAGATTGTAGTCATGTCTTCCCAATTCACTCACTATGAATATCAGTGCCAATTGGATACCGCCATTCCAAATATCTTTTCTTCTTATGAGTTCATGTGTTTTGGGGCCTTCATTACCACCTTGGCTTAAATCACAAAATAAGATTGCTTATTTAGACGTCTCAAATGCGAGCATTTTTGGTTTTATACCAAACTGGTTTTGGGATATATCTTCCCGATTAACGTTTTTAAACACGTCACATAATGAGTTGGAGGGTTGGCTTCCAAATTCAATGCTTGTGGCATTATCTTCTGATTGCACTAGAAAAGTGATTGTGTGAGAAAACTCTTCCTATTATAAAACCTGGTGTCTGAGGTGCTAGATCTCTCACACACAATCACTTTTCTAGTGCAATCCCATTAAACATATGTGAACAAATGAATCATGTGGGATTTCTATCGCTTTCTTATAATCAACTCCGGGGAGAAATACCATTGTGTTACTGTCATTAATCTTTTAAACAACAACTTAACTGGAAGGATTCCTCCAAGCCTTGCAAATTGCTCTATTCTGGATGTACTAGACCTTGGGAATAATAGTCTGTTTGGGACAATTCCAGATTCCTTGGGCCAGTTTCAACTATTCAGATCATTACACCTTAATGACAATCACTTTTCGGGGGATTTGCCATCATCTTTAAGAAATTTGTCAGTGTTAAAAACTAAGGATCTTGGAAACAATGAATTGTCTGGTATTATTCCAACATGGTTTGGGGAAGGTTTCACATTTCTAAATCACGATAACATTAGATAATTCAACAATTGGATTAATTTCTACAAAGAGTTACTAAACGTATGTTAAATTTGACTTCATGTGTCAACGTATGTTAAATTTGACTTCATGGGTCAACAGATTCTTATTTTTGACTTCATGTGAATGTCTAAGGAATTAAAAGAGGTCACTTTTGTATAGAAAGTGATGTATTTATTTACTAGTACATCATTAAGTGTTTCTTATACTTCCAAAACAATTTCCACTTATAGGGTTCCTTAAACAATGCTCTTACAGCACTAGTTAGCATGATATCTATGTATACTATAATTATATCAAGAGTCTCATTTTTTTTAGTGTTATTAAGCTGGGCTTATTGTGTTATCTGCCCTTTCAAAATCATATTCTCTCTAAAAGTCTCTTAGATATTTTTGAGGATCTGTTTTAACCGAGTGAGAGCAGACAACATGTGCAATAGTGAGCTCACTTCTTCACTAAATATAAACAAAATGTGTGGCAAAGATTATTCAAGATACTTTGAAAATTCAGAAAGAACCCCAATTTTAACTGTTCTTATGCTAGGATCTAAGGGAAGGATGTGGGGAAGTTCACGGGGAGGTTATGACTTTCAAAACTCCTTTATCTATAGAAACAGAGAATGGGCAGCTGGTTTTGATTCATAAGCCAAAACTCAGTTTGAGACAGACATGATTGCTCATGCTCAGCAATTATAAAAAATTGATCCTCCATTATAAAAATATGATACACACCAACTAGTTAACTTAAAATGGATCCTCTCATACGATTTTGATCACGTGAAAATTGTGTCCATCGCTCTCTTCATGATAAAAAAAGTCCCACATTGGATAAGAATAGACATGAAAATTTTCTCTTGGTTCAAAGTTGTGTTGTAAGAGTTGAGTTAAATCCAACCCAAATTCTAAGACGGTAATAGAGCTAGAGCCTGAACTTGTCAATCTGGCACACACAGATTTGAACAGGGGAAAAAGGAATTGCTTAATGTGAAATAACTCATCAAACACAGAACATTTGACTCTTCCACTAACCAAAACTAGTTTCAACAATATTCAACAACACAGAATCAATTCTACAAAATCCAATTCCCGTCACCGCAAAATCAAACACACACGAAATCAATTCTACATATCTAAAATCAATTTTGCCTCCTCTAAAAGTGGAATCACTAAAATAGTATTATTTGATGAAAATGTGAGCTCAATAGCTCTACAATGGAGAAACAAATAACACCCTCTAAGACTCCAACCAGAGTGATATTCCCTCCTAACCAATTTCTTAACAAACTTCTCAATGGCCTTTACCACTCTCTCCTTTTTATATTATATGTGTTTCCCCTCTAACAGAAAGCTGTCGCACCAGCGTGATATTGATTAGATGGTGTTAGGTGTGTTAAGCCCACTTAGGCCAACACCCCATTCAAGGTCCTAAAATTACCAGCCCCTTGAAAATAGACTTGGCCTCAGGTCTGAGCTTGGGACATTGACTATGTCTCCAATGTAGTTCTTTGCAGTCTCCCCTTTCCAAGGAACTACGATTCTCTTGGTGCAATTGTCATTGAACCACGACTTACTTCCTCCTAGATAGATCCCACTCTTGGTAACTTGCAAAGCTAGCTTTATGTGATTGAAACATTCACAAAGTTGACTCCCAATTCATGGGGTTGGAAACCTATTGTCACTTTCTTCCAAATTCAGAGAGCTTGTGCTCCTCTTCCAGACTTTTGCAGCATACTTACCTGCATATATGAATTTGTACTTTGATTCTTAAATAGAGCTTCCTTAACACTGGCAGCTTCACTAGGCATTCCAGACTTCAAAAGACATGAACTTAAAGTTCTAATAGTAACTTCATCTGGTGAACAACCGGTTGCCAACATCTTGTAAAAGATACCAATTGCTTCTGGTGCTCTTCCTTTCATACAATGACCAATAATAAGTATAGTAAACGTCAGTTTATCCGGTATACATTTGTTCTCCATATCTACCACAATTGCATTAGCTTCATCAACATTACCGGATTTGCAATATCCATCAATGACAGGATTGTAGATAAATGGCCGTGGAACAATGTCACTCTGATTCAATAGTCTTAGAAGCTCACGAGCTTCTTCTAGTCTATTGCTCCTGCACAGAGCACTAATAAGAACAGAGAAAGTATACAAATTTGCAGAAACGTTTCTCGCTTTCATTTCATTCCAAACGTCCAAACCATAGTTCAATTGCCCAACTCGGCAATATCCATCAATTAACAAAGTGAAAGTAACAACATCAGGACAACAACCATGAAAGAGCATCCTCTTATGTATTCCTAGTGCAGACACCATGTCACCTACCTTAACAAATCCATATATAACTGCATTAAAAGTAGCTACACTAGGCTTAGCTCCCGACGTAACCATTTCATCGAAAACGGAAGAAGCCTCCTTCATCTTACTCAATTTACAATAACCCGATATCACTATCGTATAACTCAAAACATTAGGAGCAAACTCGGTTCTTAAACAAATCTCTCTTAATAAATCTCTTGCTCTATCAACCTCATATATTCTACATAAACCATGTATAAGAGTATTATAACTAACAACATCAGGGTAACAACCAAAGCTTCTCATATTATTCAGAAATCTAAAAGCCTCGTCGATTTCTCCAGCAACGCAGAAAGCTCGAATCAAAATATTGAATGTGAATATATCTACATCGAACTCGAATCTAACGAGCTCCCTAAACAAACTAACAGCCTCGTCTAACCTATTACATTTAACCAAAATGTTAAGAAAGTTATTATAAACAACAACATTTACATCAACCTTATTACACAGAGCATCAGTAATAAGCTTGTTGGAAACATCAAACCTATGAACAAATGCAAAAGACGAAACCAAGAATCCCAACAACCTACTATCAGGCAACAACCCATCAGACCTCATGGAATCATAAACAAGTTTTGCTGAACTGTGGTGATGTTGTTGACAAAGGGACCTTAAGAGAAAATTGTAAGTCCAAAATGAATGAGAAAGGTTCAAGCTTTGTTTGGTGAACTGGAAAAAAGTGAAACCTAATTGAGGGTTGTTTAGTTTTTTGATAACTTGTAATGTAAGTGAAGGGGTTAAGTGGTTACTGACGTAAGCAGAAAACGTAGCGTCAGATGAGTTTGTGAAGAGAAGAAAGAGCGTTGAAACGATTTTGACAAACCAAGCTTCGGGTTTGTTGGGTTTAAGGGTGTGGTAATGGGTGATAAGGGTAGTATTGAAAATTCGAAAAGTGGTGAAGATGAATGAAAATGTCATCACAACAACAAATAGGTTCAACAACGGAGTAGATATCCTGTAAAAACAGTTCAATTATAAATTTGAGTCAATTAATTGATTTAAAAATTTAAACAAAGTATGAATCTCAAATGTAAACTTGTGTTTGTTTCCTATACATACAATGATGCAAATTTTCACATCAAAATATATAGTATCAAAATTAGTTTAAAACACGCTCATTCACCCATCTCAGAAACTGGATGCAACACTAACAAGAGATTGTGAAGAAGAAATAAAAAAGAATCAGCGCATCGAATTAGGTTATTGAAAGGGGAGGAAAATTCATACCTTAAAGACTTGAGTAGTTCACTGTTGTGAATCCGGAATGTTTCTAAAACAACGAGGGCAAAGCGGCAGCAAACTGCTGAGTTTTGTTGCGTTTATTAATTACATGGCCCTTTTCGAAACAACTGATTAGACTCTCATATACGCTCAATATCTCATGTTTTTCTTAATTGAGTAATGCTAAATATATTTAGGAAGCTTAAATTTAACCTAAGCCAAGAATGTGTATTTGTCTTAATTCACAAATGACCTATAATCTTTTCAATTCTTAAACAAACTTCCAAGCATTTTCAAGCCTAGCACCTTAAAACAAAGTTGTAGTAGACATCCTCAAGTTTATTATGAAAAAATAATGAGCTCAAGGAGATAAAATATGACCAATTTATGATCATTTGAAGTCACACAGGAGAATTTTATGGCCTTACCAAAGGACTTGTAACATTTCACAATCATTAGTGACTTTCCATTCAAAATTAGCCTTAGATCCTTGAAGTGAAGTTGTTAAGGACTCTTCAAATATAATCATGGATTTGGAATCAACCTAATATATCAAAAAAAAAGAGCAAGATATGGTCCTTGGAAGTCAACCAACCCTTACTCAGATAATGCCAAAATGACTTGTAACCCCTTTCAACTTTTGATGATTTTTCTTGAACAATTGAGTCTAGTCATGTGAAGAGAAATTGTTGTATATGATGATAAGAACCCATAGAAAAAATAACCAACTCAAAATATTGAAAAATGAGAGAGTTATGCACTTGTGATCACTGAATCACGCATATGCTCAATTAGGTCAAACTTGTTGAATCTACCTTGAATATTTTGAACTTTCTTTGGAAAATAGAGCATGATAGATGACACTAGACCTTGAAATGATGTTGTCTTAAATCACACTCAAAGGTGGAGCTTAAGTATCAATGAAACTTGTTAAAGAAGACATGGAAATAAACACATGAACATATGAATCTTCTTGATGAATACCACAATCAACCCTGAGGAAAACTTGACCTCAATAAAGTGAGAGAGCTCTTTGAACCAAAAAAAATTGATATCATAGACATAGCCTTGAAGCTTAAGCTCTTGCAATTCATTGAAGAACTATTTAACTGAGGACTATCCCTCAAAGCCCTAGGTTAGATGGTAAGATGAATGCTTTGTGTCATCACCTACAATATAAACATCCAAAGAAATATATATACATATTTTGATGTTAGTTAAAAATTAATCCACCTAAAAAAACACATTTACAAGATACAAAATTCAAGATTCTTAGTGATCCCTCAAGAGTAAACTTAAAGATATGATAAAGTAGAATGGAGAACCAACCCTAATGTGTGATCTTGATGTATTGATAATATGACATAATGTGATATCTTAGGGGGAAAATTGAGGTATAACAGTACCAAGACCCGTCTTAGATGCATCACAATATACCACGAAAGATTCAATTGGATTAGGAAAAATCAACATTGGGGCAGTCGTCAACTTCTTCTTTAGTTCCATAAAATTGTCTTCGCATGCAACATCCCACACATAAGCTTGACCCTTTCGAGTCAACTGAGTCAAAGGTAATGCCAACTTAGAAAAACCTTCAATGAACTTATGATAGTAACCAGCCAAACCAAGAAAACTTTGTATCTCCATAGCAGACTTCGGAGTCCCCCATTGTAACACAATGTCAATTTTAGAATTATCCACAATAATTACATCACCTGAAATCATATGGCCAAGGAAACTCACTTCCTTCAACCATAACTCACACTTCGACAGCTTTGTATACAACTTCTTCTCTTAGAACACTTACAACACAATTCTCAATTGCTCAACATGCTCTTCTTCTAATTTATAATAGATTAGAATATCACCAATGAATACCACGACAAACTTATTCAGATACAAATGGAAAGTTTGATTCATATACTCCATTAAAACACCTGGTGCATTAGATATGCCAAACGGCATTATGGTGTACTCATAATGACCATACCTTGTTCTGAAAGTTGTCTTTGGAATATCATCTAGTTTAACACGAATTTGGTGATAACCCGGCCTCAAATCAATCTTGCTAAACACACGAGCTCCTACCAATTGATCCATCAAATCATAAATTCTCTGAAGTTGATATTTATTCTTGATAGTCACCTTATTCAACTGTCTGTAGTCCACATATGACCTCATACTACCATTTTTCTTCTTAACAAACAACACAGGAGCATCCCACGGAGAAACACTTGGTCGAACAAACTTTCTCTCAAGAAATTCTTCCAATTGTTTCTTCAGTTCTCCCAACTTTGAAGTTGACATCCTGTAAGGAGCCATCGACACCGGACTTGTACCTGGTATTAATTCTATAGAAAACTATACTTCATGCTCTGGAGCTAAATCATTGATTTTGTCTAGAAACACATCTACAAATTCACACACAACCGGTAACTCAACATTGGAAGCTTCAAGCTCAACATGCAGTTCTGCAAACATTGTAAAAATTTAAGCTTCATCTCCTAAGAGTTCTTCAACTTCCTTAGTAGATAAAAACATTAGCTCTCTACTTTCACCAAATTATAGGAATCTCATAGTCTTACTATAAAATTTATATGAACATAGTTGAACTCCAACCAGTTCATTCCAAGAATGACATAGATTTGGTGTAAGGGTAAACACACCAAATCCATCACAAAATTCTTACCATAAATGGTCAAAGGGAAACTCGAACAGACAAAAGTAGTAGTAACAGAACCATTAGCACGAGTATCTATCACCATACTACCATTTATAGAGAACAATTTCAATCCCAGCATAGTAGCACATTCAAGAGAAATAAAACGAGTGAGTAGCACCAATATCAATAATAGCAACCAACTTGAAAATGTTAATAAAACAAGTACCTCGAATCAAGTTGTCCTTCTTGGAATCTTCTGAACCACTCAAAGAAAACACCATACCACTGGTCTGGGCAGCAGTAGAAACATTCTTCTTCGGATTTTGACACTGAGAACTGATATGACCCTGTTCACCATAATTGAAACAAGTTGGACCATTGTTCTTGCACTCAGGAGCACGATGATCCGTCTTACCATATTTTTAACATCTTAGTACCTTATTCTCACAATCATTATAATGGTGACCTTGTTCACCATACCTAAAATATTTACTAGGAGCGAGAGCTCCTCCCCACTTGTCTTCTTCCCATCTAAAACTCTCTGCTTCCCTTTATTAGTTGGAGAAACATAAGGTTTTCCATGATCTAGATTCTTCCCCTTCCTATCATTAAGACCTACTTTGATACCAATAATGTAACACCTAGGGGTGGACAGCTTTTGATAAAACCGTGAATATCCAACCGATCCACCATAACCGTTTACATGCGGTCGGTTTTAAAATGGGTGTCGGATTAACATGTTGATTTAAACCGGTTTCTAATGGTTTATATCGGTTCGGTTCGGTTGAGACAATCTAACCCAAAATTAACCGAATCCGACCGCTATAATATATGGATTGGTTTGAACTTTTTGTAAAGCCCATTAAACATACCCTTCATGTACTATATCTTAACAGTATATTTAGCTTACATATTCTCTTCTTTACCTCACCTCAAACTTACTGTGTTTGATTTGTTGTTTACCCAATTTATTTGACAAAACATTTCTCAAATCTTTGCAAAGCAGATAATGTAAAAATTTCCAGATTTTTTTCTAAATCTCCTTGCAATTTTGTAGCAGTGAAAATAATTTTACAATAATTCCCAAATGTTTTCCGGATCTATCTTTAAAAAGTCTAATAAAACATTAGTAGCTTATGTTTTAAAGAACATTTAGTTTTTAATTTTTAATCGCAACTTTTTAAATGGACTACCGATTAAACCGAACCGACAACCGTTCAATCCGACAAACCGTAAACCGACGAAACCGAAAATTTAAATGGTCGAAATTGGATGTTCATTATGGACCCGCGGTTTAGATCGGATTGGATTTTTGGACCCGAATCCAATCCAATCCGACCGTTGTCGAGCCCTGGTAACACCCTTCTAAACCCAGAAATTAATTCACGAATAAACTAATAAGTAAAGTAACACAAAGCACCAACGGGGGTGTCACATCTTCATGCAAACATCTTAATCAAACATCATGCTCCATAACACGGGTTTTAAAAACTTTTAACAATTATTTCTTTAATAATATCAACATATAAATTCAGACTTCGCAGTGGAATATTTGTCTCAACATAACTTCATTTATTTCATCCAAAAACATCAAGTCTTCTTTGGTCTTATTCAAGTTAACATCCAAATAAACTCAACAAATGACAAACTCATGAGATGTATTTTAAATAAAATAAAAAACTTCTAAAATTCTAACGTTCTTAACCTCAACGTTATATATCACAGCAAGACCCTTTTTATTCAACTCAAATACACTAAATAACTCCAAAGCTACCCTCATGCTTCTACGAGCTATTCGCGATCACCTGCGTGTTACCCACGTGGAGGCAACATTCAAACATAAAGGGTAACTAATCACAAATCATTACAAAATATATAAGGAATAGATATAGTAGTTATAATAACAATCATCAATGAAATCCACATACCGTTATATATCACATATTATACTCACACTTTCACATCATTAATTTATTCATAAATTCATTATATCATCAAAATCAATAAACATCATTTAATTCACGTATCATCAACAAAAGCGTCATTTAAGTCACCACATCGACAATACACAATTTAATAAATAATCATGCAATGAAACAAAGGACGTAATGCACAATATTGACTCATGCATGTGGTACCAAACTTCACTGATGAACACTGGGTCATCGCCCTCCAAAGATCCCCACCATAGAATTGATTCCCGCATGGAATTGGAACATATCATAATAAATCACTCAATCCACACAGTGGAATTGAGGCCATCATTGGACAAACGTCCTAACAACACGGGTGGACGAACATCCTAACAGATGCCATGAATGAACGATGCACAATAACATTAATATGTAGACCACAGTTAGTCAATTACATCATCATTCATGTAATCATCTCTCTCTCTCTCTCTCTCACTCTCTCTCTCTCTCTCTCTCTCTCTCTCTCTCTCTCTCTCTCTCTCTCTCTCTCTCTCTCCCTCCCTCCCTCCCCCTAACAAAACTGCCAAAATCACACAGTCGAACCAATTTTAGCCGTTGAATCTCTACCAAACAATTTTAAAAAAACAGATTTATTTTCATATTATACTTTTTAACTACCTCTTTTAAATTAGAATCGTCCGATTTTAATAGAACGGATACCAACACTTGAATGTGTGAATGCAGGGAATCTTAATCTGATGTCGACCCATTTCAAAACAGTTTCGGTTCCTGGGTTGGCTAGTTCAACGGGCTAATTAGGCCAATTTTTAAAACATTAATAATGGTAACATAGATTGTTCAAGGAAATTAATTCGGTGTCAAGAGCATTTTGGTTAACGATAATAAGAATTTGAAATAATATACAGATAGAAAAACATTGATGGTTAAAGTTTATACAGACATCAATTTATAATTTATACACAATGAATGAAAAACCAAGTTCATCTGAAAGAATGAAATTAAAATGTTGTCACCTGATATGTTGTAAGAGAATGAAATCTTATTCCAAGTGACAAACTTTACCTCTTTTACTCTAATCTCTAAATGACATTCAACAAGCATCAAGCTTGATATCAACTAAGTAAGTTTATTCCCTACATGAGTGCTATGTCGTGGATTGTGAAGCATGGTGTCTGGTCATAAACCAGGTAAATTTTCCTATAGAAAGTTCATTCCAGGTACTATCAAAACCAAATAGACAGAACCAGAAATACAAAAAATATAGGCACGTCTTAAGAATCCTTCTTCCCAGAGTTTGGAATTCCAGGGTTGCATTCAAGATATCAATGTGGGCTTTACCAGCACACAAAGAAACAACTATTTCCACAAATAATCAAATTTCAATGCTTTTATCAAACATAACCCCTGTTTAGAACGGCAGTTGTGGCTGATTTCTCGCATCCCAAAGTGACACTGCCATGAATTTTATGAAGACTCAGTTAGTAGCCCCGGCTGAACGCACAATGATGCAGCTTGTTGCTGCAGAAACAAACATGAGCTTTACCAATCCAAATTCTATCATGAAGTCCTAAATGTAGTCAACATTCTACAAGAAAATTTCAAATCATTTTCTTACTGTAACAGGACTAACCAATATATGGTGTACAATGCCCATGCTATATAAATTGATCAGTGAATTTCTCCTAAATAGCAATTTATTTGCATTTCAGGCACGGTATAATTTTAAGATCACAATAAAACCACGGTTACTTGACATCACATGCATGGAACATGGTAAACAAAAAGTGATGCCTTTTAATCTAGAAAAGCTATTTGAATTCTTTGTAAAGATGCATAGTCATTTGATATCTAGGCTCCATAAGCTATGAGCTCTTCAGATGACTGACTTCTTCCTCAAGCAGGGATTATCCTATTTTATGCACAATTTTCAATGACCGGAGGATATTACTGCCTACAATGGAGAAACAGAAAACACCTGAGGATAGTCCTACCAAAGAGGTATTCCCTCCTAACCAGTTTCTTAACAAACTTCTCAATGACCTCTACTACTCTCTCCTCTTCCTATTATATGTGTTTCTCCACTAACAGAAAGCAACCACGCCAGCATGATAATGATAAGTTGGTGCAATGCAATGAGCCCACTTAGACCCAGGCCCCATA